AAGCGCTCGGGTTATAGGGTTTTTTTATTAATTTCTATCAAGACTTCTTGTACCTACGTGTTTTTCTAACATCGTGAATGTCAAATATTTGTTACTTTTAGTCATTTCAAGTTGCTATACGCAAAATACACTTTACAAAAAAGCAAGCATCTTGTTGGATCAAATAAATAATAAAACACTGATGGTTTCACGAAAGATTCTACTATAATCATATTCATAATATAGTTAAAAGTTTTGTTTTATTGTTTATTACTTTGTGTTAAAGATATGATAATCCATTGTGACATACGCGTTTTTACCTATATTCAAGATTAAATAACCTAGTAAAACCCATAAGAAGTTATATTGAAGATCTATTAAAACTAATAAAACATAAATGAACTTAGCCAAGCAATAAAGTTTGATTGAACATAATATAATAAATACAACAAAATATGAAAAAACCTGCATGGGAATTGCGTTTGGTATAATATTCAATAAAATAAAATATCAACAAAATTAACTTAAAGGTACATTTGAAACATGATTCAAATTTCTCTAAATCAGTAAAACATCAATATGTTTAGGAAGATATTAAGTTTAATTTAAGAATAAATAGGCTTGTAAAATGTTATGTATTTTAGTTGAAACATTTTTGTCTTTAAACCTGACAATCTATAGAACATCAATCAATACAACTTTAGCATGTAAGTCGGAGCATTGATGAGCAAATAGCATACAAACTAATCAAATTATTTCAATACTAGAAATGTTGTTTTTATTTAATTAGACACTTAACGTTTCGCTTTACAGCTTCTTCAGGAGCGTTCACTATAACACAAACCAAAACTGACAGTACAAAGCTTCAAATGGTTTAGATAATAAATGTTATTCGAATCTATAATGTGCATTTGTACAGCATGCTTTTGACAATTACGTAGTAACGCTTATTGTTGAAAGAAAAGTATTGTTGAAATAATTTACTGTTACCTGTGGTAAACAAAAGTCCTATAAAGGTTACAGAGTGAAATAACAAACAGATAGGTTAAAAAGTAAATTAAAAACGATAAAATAATTAAAATTATATATCACTATCCTTTGTCCATATTCATCTGTGGTCGTTAAACTCGAATAGAAGCTTTGAGGCTTTGTACTGTCAGTTTCAGTTTGTGTTTTAGTGAATGCTCCTGAAGAAACTGTAAAGTGAAACGCTGAGTGTCCAATTAAATTAAAACAAAAACAGTTTGATTTATAAGGTTTTTTATTTCTAGTATTAAAATGGCTTCTGTACACCAATATGCACTACAGAAATTAAATATTCACATTATTTACCGAATGATCACGTTTGATTCAAGATTTACAAATCTATAAAATACTAAAGTTTAAACTTGAAATTTTCCAAATATTGTATAGAATCACACACATTTTCATTTAGTAAATATTTACGTATCTTATAGTTTGGACTGTCAGTATTTAACTCTCTACTGCACATAGTAACGTGCAGGCAGTAAATCTATCTTTGTTACTTAATACACACACAAATGCTTCAATTCTGTAGTTGGATGCTCTTACTTACAGGTAACAGTCTAAATAAACCATGGATTTTTTTTTGGTTCCGCAATTGGAGAATGTTACTTATAGGTAACGAATCCATTTATAACTTAGCAAAAATATTTAAAAAAACGTATGTTTTGTGCAATACAGACTTATATATATATATAATTCAAAGAAAACATTTTTCCCCATCGTATTTTCATAATACGAGTAATAAAGGGATAATGTTGTAACTAAAACATATATTTACATATATAAGTAATTTTCGACTAATTTACATGCATGAGTCAATTTTATAATATTTGTTTACCAAGTTTGCAGTAACAGGGATCAAAATATTCTGTTAGGAATTATATGATCATCACGCATACAGAATCTATGTTTCATATAAAATAACGTTATTCCACCTGATGCCAATAAGACATATATTTAGGCTTCCTTTCAATGAAACTGTTATTTTTTTAATAATTTTATATGTATATCCAGATTAATTTATTCGTCAAGGACATTCATAAATTAACCTAAGAATAATATTTTTTTATTTTGAGAATACCGTTTTTTATCACCTGAAAAGACACGCTAACTACGAATATCAGTTATCAGTTGTAGTTTGAATGTTTTCTGAAACGTTAAATATCCATGACATTCACTGTCGTTTGTAGAATTGTCTAGTATTTCAGTGTTTGATGCTCATTTTTTTATTTTGTTTTTTGCGGTGTGTAGGTTTTAATCTACAAACGTTTAAATGTTTCATACGTTTATTGTGGTGCGTAGATTGTAAAAATTTGCCAATATTTCAGTGTTTGATACGTTTCTTGTTGTGTGTATGCTTTAATGTACTAAAGTTTAAATATTTCATAGTTAAGATTGTAAAGTTTACCAATATTTCACTGTTCGATACGTTTCTTGCGGTGTGTAGGTTTAAATCTACTAACGTTTCAATGTTTCTTGTAGTGTATAGATTGTAATCATTTTTATCGTTTTACAATCATTTATAAATCGTACACTTTTTATTAGATCGGTTGAAAGTAATTTTTTAAATACTATAAACAATAAGTAAGAACTGCGTATAATTCTGCAATAGTTGGAATGCAACGGCTTTTTTGTTTTTGTTTTTGCAAATCAAAACACTCATATCAGTTTTTTCGTCTTACTAAAGTAATAGAACGCACCAATGTTTTTTTATTTTAAAAAGATCTAATTACATTATATTGTGTGTGAAGTTTATTTAAAAATTTGGTCATCATAGACAACAGTATTTCGTTATGTTTTCGAGTAACACTGACATGCAATAGATATGTACAAATAAATAAGGTATACAAGAAAAGGCCCATATATATTTTTGTTCCCACTTTTGGCAACATAAAAGTGACACTTGAGGTACAGGGTGTAACATAAAAAATTTCGTCTTGTCCAAGTAGCACGTAAGCAAGATCAGAACATGCAAGCACATATATATATATATATGAGTATGTAAGTGGAGTTTTCCAATTGTAGGCAATGAAGTTCCTTCAGAGTTTATTAACATATTATTGACTAGAGGAAATAGAGGTACTCCAGACTGAGAAGTTATAGTCCCTTTTTTGAAGTGAATCCAGTTATTGTTTTAGTATCATATATAATCTAGTCGTTATCTTTAATACAACATCCATAATCCAGGTGTTACCTTCTTATAGAACCCATAATCTGGTTGTTATCATTCTATAGCATTCATTATCCAGTTGTTATAATTCAGTCGTTATTTTAATACACATGATCCAGGTGTTATATTCTTATTATAGCACCCATTATCTAATTTTTATCTTCCTATAATATTCATTATCTTGTTGTTACCTTCATGATGTTCATAATTCGTTTATCATCCTACTAACTATGGCGATTCAGCTATTTTCTTTACATTCACAATTCCGTTTTAATATTATTAACATGTGTGATTCAATTTTTATCTTCCTAGCACCTATCATCCAGTCTTCATATTGCTAATCTACGTGTCGATTCTATATTTTCTCAACAATCAGAAATAACTTCTTATTAACAGTTTTCTATGATTTCCAAACCTAACTCGTTGTCAATGTAACATTCATGATCCAATTATTATTATTTCCATAGTTTCTTAAAATATCCCTTTGTCTTTCTGAAAGCTATGATGCCATTGTTTTAAAACAATGCTCTATGGCTCAGTCGTTACCTTTCTAACATCCATGATCCAAGGGGCTAATCTCCTTGATATTCGAAATCCAGTTTTTATTTCTGGATTCCATGACTCCATTAGTGTCATTCTAGAGCCTGTGATCCAGTCGTTATATTAATTATAATAGTGATCAATTTATCTCCTTACTAACATCCGTAATACAGTGGTTTTTATTCTTAACATGTAAGATCATGCTATTTCCCTATCGTTTATTATCTAGATGTTATTTTCAAAGTTTGTAAACCAGTCTAAGTCTTGAAGTTAAACAGCAAGATCAGGGATTTTCATCTAACAATAGTCTGCAGATATATCTAGACTAGTTTGTGCTGCTCCACGCGTGTGTTAGATATTCTAAATTATCGGATTCTTATACTCAATATTATTTATTAGTGGTCGAACACTAGTATAGTCAAATCTTGTCAAACATCCAATATTATTTATCAACTGTTAATGATTGGAATTTTACGTCCTGAATAACTTTTACCAATTTTAGATAAGGAAATTCTAGAACACCACTATCATTGATCATATACCAAACAACGGTGTTTTAAAGCTTCAGTGTCATGTCATTAACTACCTGCAAGTGTCTTCGATTATAACACTCTAAAATAATTAAATTATTTTTAAATTGTGGGTTAATATTATGAATCATCTACCAAACATTATAATCAAAATACATCGATATCGCAAACCATCTGTCCAAAATTGGAATTCTAACGCCTCAATATGATTAAACATTTGGCAAAAACTGAACTTATGATACTCCAACGCTCTTAAACATTTGCCAAGCACTGGGGTTCTAATACTATATATATAACAACAAATACTTGTTAAACACTGGGATTCTTATACTTCGATATCATTTAAACATTTTAAACATTAGGATTCCTACACTCCAATACAACTGACTATTTGTGAAATACAATATCACCAAACACTTGCAAAACACTGCGATTGTATCACTAATATTATTAAATACTTTCACAAATCGGGATTTTGTTATTACGTCATAATGAAACCCTCGCCAAACAATGGGATTCCAACACACTTATATAATTAACCATCTGTTAAGCAATGGGACTCAAATATTATGAAGTTATCAAACATTAGTTAAATAATAGGATTCTAACATTCCAATTAACCACTCCACAAGCGTTGGAATTTTAACACCTTACAGATTATCATTGATATGTGGGACGTCTGAGGAAGTATGGATGACTTCTATTATCGTACACTTACAGTTCTGTTTCTTGACCTTTTAATGGGTGACATTCTTCTGAGGCTGAATGAACACTTTTGTTGATATCGACAGTGATCGACGCCTCGATATTATGTGGGAGAATACTGCCACTACTAACAGAACGGGACTCAATGACTGTTGTACTCTGAGTGGCAACAGATGCTTTTGATTCTGTGAACAGCAAAAATAAACTTTACCTCTAGATAAACAAATGGTAGTGAAAGGTTGAAATTGAAAATCTGAGTAGCGAAATTTTATAACAACGACATAACTATCGTCTCAAGATAAATAAGCAATAACAGAAGAAAGCTCAAAAGGAACAATTCAAATAACGAAATTCTTATAAACAACAATATTAACTTTATGGTATGTGCGCTTTTTACAAGCTGGCGAAGAATTATTACAACTGTATTTGTCATAAGACATTAGTGTTAGGCCTATTACATTTTTAAACTGCATTCTTAATATAATCCCTTAGGGATTTTTAAGAATTACAAGAGTATGAAATAATGTAAATATAGTCCAACCACACTATATTATAACTGTATTTGCCATAAGACATTAGTGCTAAGCCTATTACATTTTTAAACTGAATTCTTAATATAATCCCTTAGGGATTTTTAAGAATTAGAAAATTATGTAATAATATAAATATAGTCCAACCACACTATGTTTATCATATCTCTTGCTGACGACGCGCTTCCCTCAATCCAGAGCTCTTCAGGCTAGCTGCGATACACAAACACGTCACTGGTCGGAACACTATTTATATAAGCCATTTGATACCATAACAGTTGTTATGGTGTGTACGCCTTTTACAAGCTGGCAAAGAATTATTACAATTATACTTGACATAGATTATTAGTATTAGGCCTATTACGTTTTTAACACTTGTAAACATTTCTAGATGCATCGTCGGCAGTAGATATGACAAATATAATGTGGTTGGAATACTATTATTATACATTCTTCTAATTCTTAAAAATCCCTAAGGGACTAGATTAAGAGTGTAGTGTTTAAAAAGTAATAGTCCTAATACTGATGTCTTATGATAAGTAAAAAAAGATTAACAATGTTTTTTTTTTTGAATTTCTGATGTCTTATGATAAGTAAAAAAAGATTAACAATGTTTTTTTTTTTGAATTTCTGATGT